GAGCAGGGATGACTGCCTGGAAGAGGTGGCACAGGTGTGGGGAGAGTCCCCGGTAAGAGAATGAATCATCCAGGGAAGGGCAGGGACCCAAGGTGACGGAGGGTACAGGTGAGAGGATGCCTGCCAGAAAATGGCCTCCCAGGCCAGGCGCAAAAGCTTAGTCTTTCTCCAGGTGCCTCTGAGCAACTGCATGTGTGTTGGGGCACCAGGTGGGGGTCAATCCCTGGCCCCATGTTTATGACATGTGAATGAGCAAGTGTACAGGTGGGAAGGCTGGAAAGACAGGGAATGGTAGACACCTCACTAAAAGGCTGCTGTGTGACTGGGTAATGGTGGTGGCCCCATGCTGAGCAGGTGGGTCTGTGAGGGCAGACTTGGCGGGCAGGCATCATCTCCATCCCCAAACACTCCCCTGAATTCCAGACTCACATGGGCTCCCTTTCCACCTGGAGTCTCACGGACATCATACATCTGACAGGGCAAAAACTGAGCTCTTGGGCTGGCTGAGTGGCTCAGTTGGTTAAGTTGAACTGCTCAGAGCAACAGCGGTTCAAGTCCCAGCCTGAGCTGAGCTGCCGCTGAGCTGCCAACAGGTGGCAGGATGGCTCAGCTGAAAAGAAAAAACAACAACAAAAACTGAGCTCTCTTCCTCTGTAACCCTGGCCTCCCTCATTGTCCCATCTCAGCAAATGCCCATGCCCTCTATAATTCTGCACCCAACACACCCAAACAATTCTCTGACACCAGCCAGTGTCCTACAATTCAACTCAATTCTGAGGCTATCTACAGAATTCAAGAAACCAGATTATTCACTAGATTATCAGCTTACTACAAAAGATATTAAAGAATACAAATCAACAGCCAGATGCAAGAGGTGCTTAGGGTGAGGCATGGGGAAAGGACACGGAGCTTCTGTGCTCTCTGGGTGTGCCACTCTCCCCACATCTCCACGTGTTCAGCAACCTGGAAACTCTCCAAACCCAGTCCTTTTGGGTTTTTATAGAGGCTTCATGACAGTGTCATGATTGATTAAATCATTGGACCTAAATGATTGAACTCAATCTCCAACTCCTCTCTCCTCCCAAGAGGTCAGGAGGTGGGAATGAAAGTTCCAAACTTTTTTTGTTGTTGTTGTTGTTTCTTTTCAGCTGAGCCATCCTGCCACCTGTTGGCAGCTCAGCGGCTGCTCAGCTCAGGCTGGACTCGAACTGCTGTTGCTCAGAGCTCAAACTCTTGAGTGGGCTCTTAACCAACTGAGCCACTCAGCCGGCCCTTGAAAGTTCCAAACTTTTAATCACAAGGTTGGTTCCCTTGATAACTAGCCCTCATCCATAGGTGCTTCCAAAAAATCACCTCTCACATAATAAAAGACACCTTGATCGTACTCAACACTTAGGAGATCACATGTATATTTCTTACTGTAAGTCACTCAGGTCCCAACCATAGAGCTAGCTATACCTCCTCTCTTGCACTTACCAACCAAACCATGGTGAAGCCAGTGACTCTTCCTCAAATTGTGCCCAGAATCTGGCTACTTCTCCCACTTCCTCTGGTGCCACTCTGTCCAGTCCGCCATCTTGGGTCTCAACAGCAGTGACAGCCTCCCAGCTCCACCAGTTCTTCTTACAGAAGCCCACATCAACTTTGAAAACCTGAATGAAGTCGGGCCACTCACCAATCCAAGCCAGTTCAGAAGCCAAAGTCCTCACTGCTGGGCCGGCCGAGTGGCGAGTTGGTTAAGAGCTGGCTTGGGATGCCAGAGGGCCCCGGTTCGGATCCCACATATGAGGGCCAGTGACACTGCCCTCCACAGCTAAGATGCTGAACAACAGCTCAACCTGGAGCTGGGCTGCCATGGGTCGCCGGCGACGGCGTAGGCTGCAGCCCCTGTGGCAGTGGGTTGCCATGGGCTACCGTGTGTAGCCAGCAGCCAGCGTGAGCGGCCAGCAGCCGCAGTGAGCGGCCATCCAGAAGCCGGCGACTGATCTGCCTCGCCCGGGAAGAGCACAATGATGGTGCCAACTTGGGCCAGTGAAGCAACGTCCTCCACAACTAGACTGAAGAACAAAAGGACAGCAACTTGTCTGTTCCCCTTCCCCCAATTCCCCAATGCTGTTCCCATCCCCCAATTCCCCAATAAAAATCTTTTAAAAAAAAACAAAAAACAAAGTCCTCACTGCTGTCCAGCCACCTCTGTAACCTGCCCTCCATTCTCCCTCTGTAGAATTCTAGCCAGCGGCTGTTCCTTGAAATCACTCAGGACTTTTGCACTTGCTGTTTGCTCTTCCTCAGATACTGGGGGGCTCCCCCGCACAGAGGGGCAGGTTTCTGCCCAAAGGTCACTCTGCCAAGCCCTCGGTCTCTCCTTCCCCTTCCCCTGTGTGTGTTTATTCAGCAGGCCTAGGGCCATGTGCTCTGGTGCTCAGGACAATGACTGAATGAAATGAGCAAACCTCTTCACACCTTGGTTTCCAAAGGGGAGAATAATCGCTTTTGCTGGGACAATTCGCTAAAATACTGCATGACATGCACTCAGCACAAGCTCAGCAAGTCCTGCCAAACACTGTATGAACTGCCGTGAGGACTGAATTCAGTAGTTCACAAGTGGGACATCTCACTGCTCCAGGTTGGGATTCTCATCCCCAAAGCATCACAGCATGGGGTCTAGCCTCACCTAAACCAGTGTTTCCTGCTTCCATGCAGGTCCGCTGCTGCCACTAAACCGCAACTTGTTTCTATAACTTTTCTCATTCTGAAACTACTTTGAGGAGCTCTCTCTCTCCCACAAATGACCACAATATGTTCCAGTGAATAATTTTTTCAAAAATGAGGCAAATCAAAAACTTGTGGCAAAAGAAAAAAGCCTTATGACAAACACACAGACATAAGCTGCCCATCTTTCAAATCTCAGGCACCGTGACCACCTGGCTGTTATGAATGTTGCTGTAGGCCACAGCGTGGCTTCAACATAAACTCTCAAAAGCACACTGTCAGAAGGGCCAGCAGGAAATAACCAGAGGGGCTTGTGCATGAGGAAGGATCCCCAGGACACTCTGTGCACTTGTCAAGCCAAGCCCCCCACGCTGTAAGACCAGATTGACGCTTGGTCATGGCCAGGTTGTGGGTGGGAGGACCAGAAACAGCACAGCACACCCCCAGCAGACCATGATCTCTTCTAGCAGGGATCAAAGGCCTTTTAATACCCTGTATCGGTTTCCTGCGGCTGCTGTAACAAATTATCACAAACTGGGCGGTTTACAAGAAGAATATAATCCCTCACAGTTGTAAGGCCATAATTCCAAAACCAGTCTCACTGGGCCAAAATCAAGGTGTGGCAGGGCCTCACTCCCTTATAGGCTCTAGGGGGAGAATCATTCCTCACCCCTTCCAGCTTCTAATAATTGCAGCCTTCCTCGGCTCCATCTTCAAGGCCAGCATCTCCCTCTGTCTCCCTCTCACAGGGATATATGTGACTGCCCTTAGGACCCACCCCGAAAATCCAGGACAATCCCCCCACCTCAAGATCCTTTACTTAGTCATACCTGCAAAGCCCCAGCTCCCCCTCCCCCAGCTTTGCCCCGCTTTGCCACACACAGTAACCTTCACAGGTTCCAAGGATTAGGGTGTGGACACTGGGGTGGGTGGGGCATATTTGCCACACCCTTCTACCCCTCAGTTGTCTAGTGCTGCAGATGCTGAACAAGTGCAAAGGAAGGTGCATGGGCAGGGGGAGCAGAAGTAAGCAAGAGGGCTAAGGGGTTCTGCAGGCTCTCTGCCTGCCTATGCCTGTGTCTGAAGGTCAAGGCCAGCACAGGCACTGAGCGGGGGCAAGGCCTCCTGGAAGTGTGGCAGGGTCCCAGGTCTGAAGAATGGCTTTGGACAAAGCAAGCTCTGGACCTCCGTCCCTCATCACTCCGCTCCTCTCAGGTCTCCCCCACCCACCCACCACCTCAGGGCAGGTCCAGCGTGTTCAGGACAAGAGGGACAGTACATTCGGAATGCAGTCTTTTTGAGATGAGCAGCCTGCCCCACCCCCATCTCCCCAGATGGAGAAAAGACCTAACTCATAAACCAGATGAAAAACATGTCCTGTTCTGCCCCTGGGACCAACGGATCACCTGAAATGAAAACAGTCTGGAACAGTGTGTTGCTAACTCTGAGCTTGGCCTTATTCTTCCGGCTACCCTCAAGGGTGATCACAGGACATTCACAGATCGCATCAGCAAACCCACGCACGCAGCCCCAGGGACCACCAGCTCAGTTCCTGGAGCACCACAGCTGCCCCCTTCCACTCCTCCAGAGATGGCTGCACAGGCGAGCTGGACCAGAGACCCCAAGAGACCCCATGCCTAGTCGGGGAGGGAGTGTCTCAGAGAAAGGCTGCAGCAAGAGGACCTCCCGACCTCCCTCAGGGGGCCCAGGGTCGCCTTCCAGGCAGCCCAAGGCTCCACCCCAGCTCTCGTCCTCCTAGCAGCCTCTGCACCCACAAAAGAGTGGGGTGCCACTGTCTCCTGTTTTCACTGTCCCATTTTCAGAGGCTTGTTCTTGCTACCTAGCACACCTCAGGCCAGCAGTGTGCAAACTATTTAGTAGGAAGCCTCGTTTAGGAAAAATCATCATGTTTATGGGACACATAAGGGGGTGGGAATTCACAAGAAAGCAGTTTCATTGTGTGGATGGTAGGGAGCGGGGTAAGCCCAAGCTAAGACAGTCTACTTCACCAACTAGAAGGCTGAGTGAAATCGCCAGGCACAGGTGGGCAGCCCCATCACAGGCCAGTCCTGCTGCCCGAGCCCATCCCAGCAGCAGCCCAGGGCCACCTGCCGATGCCAAGACATCATTAGATCCCTAAGGTGAGGGGCTTCCCCAGCCAGTGTCCCCTAACTGGGAAACAGAAAAGGTGATTCCATGCTGGCCACAGAAAAACAAAGGGAAGGAAGAGTGGTCAGTCTGTCTGTCTGTGCAGCCCGCTCGGACAGTGTCAGGGTCAGGTCACTTACCACATTCCAGAAGAGTGGATTGAAAGCAATGGTGAGGACGGCAGCCACAAAATAGGGATCCAAGGGGTCCACGTAGCCCAGCAGTCGGGTCATAACGCAGAGGTCTGCCTGCAAGGACACAGCTGGCATCAGCAAGAGACCCACTATCCCCCACCCAGCCCCCACTGGCCCACACATGGGGGACCAGAGGAGTGACAAGCTCAGAGAACTCAGAAACAAAGTTACACTCTGGGAACACACTGGGAGACTTTGGCACATCCAAGCCAAGCAAAGGTTACTACAGTACAGTCTCATAAAACTGAAGATAAAGAGCGGAAACCCAATCAGCTGTGTCGTGCCCTGTCAGGAGCCAGGCAAGCCACAGAAGAGCAGCGTGCAGGGACGCTAGACAAGGAAATCGGCGACTTGGACCATGAAGGTCCAGCACCCCGAGGGGGAAGTGGCCCCACTAGGACCAACGTCTGCATCCAGGGTGATGTGACCAGGATCCTGCAGAGGTGTTCAGAGGGCCCAGAGCAAACCCGAGGGGCTGACATCGTGTGAAGAGACGAGCAGCCTCACTAGCAATCAGGTACATGCAAGCTAACAGCGTGAATGTGGCTCTTCTCACCAAACAGAATGACGGGCCGTCCTGCGTGCTGATGAGGTGTGAACTAAAAAGGTGGGCTCCCACGTGCCTGCAGTAGTTCCACTCCCAGACATCTGCCCCAGAGAAACTCACAGGCCTGGCCAAGCCATGGGCACCCTTGCAATGAAAGTGTCTACCTATGGAAGAACGGATAAATAAAATGTGGTCCATTCCTAAAAGGGCTAAGCTACAGAATTTAAATAAACTAGATGTATGTGTCAACATGTGATATTCTCAAAATATGTCAAATGAACACAGCAAGCTGCCGAAGCCCTAAAGCATATACTATATGCATTTCTAGAAAACAGCACACAACCACGCAGAATAAATGTTCTTTCTCTGCATGTTTATAAAAAGGCTGGCATATGATATACTAAATTCATGATGCTGTGTCTGTAGCAGGGTTCCTCGTCTTGCGCACTGCGGACGCTTAGGGCTGGATCACGGGGGGAGGGGGAGAGTCGGTGGGGGAATCCTCTACCCCATGGGGTATGCAGCAGCACACCTGGCCTCCACCCAATGGATACTGGCAGCTCTCCCCAGTTGTGACAACCACAAATGTCTCCAGACATGCCTACATGTCCCCCACGGTTGAGAACCCCTGCCCCTAGGGACAAGAGGAGAAAACAGCTGCACTCTTTCAACATTGATTTCTTTCTTTTCCTTTTTTTTAATTTCAGCTTTTTTTTTTAAAAATTGGGGAACAGTGTGTTTTTCCAGGATCCATCAGCTCCAAGTCAAGTAGTTGTTTCAATCTAGTTGTGGAGGGCGCATCTCAGTGGCCCATGTGGGGATCAAACCGGCAACCTTGCTGCTATGAGCACTGCACTCTAACCACCTGAGCTAACTGGACACCCCTTGATTTCTTTCTTTAAAAAAAAAGAGGCACCGCCAACATTTTGAGTGGTGAGTCTTACTGAGTTCCTGCATCATTCTTTGTAGTTTTCTTTTTCTTTTTAGAAAGGATTTTAGAGACCCAAAGTACTGAAATTCATACTCTGGCAACCCTCCATATGATTTCAAAATAAAAACAAGTCTAAACTGTAAAATAAGTCTAAATCCACCAGAGTTTTCATCTTTTCCATAATGTCTATTTTGATGGTGTTTTCTGTTTTGTTTTGTTGTTTGGGAATGCAGTACAATCTTTTAAGAAATGTTTATCTCCCACTTTGGGGGATGGGGAGATGGAGCTTCTGATTTGGTCTGCCGCACAGCCCTCCCAGCTCTGATGGGCAGGCAGCAGCCTCCAAGCGACTCACTTTTGCTTCACCAAGTCCTTCTCCTGGCATAACTCAGCCTGCCATCCAGACAGTGCTGCTGATTGTGACAGCGGGAAGATCCCAGACAGTCACTGAGCACGGAGGATGTGGCCTGACATGTCCCTCACATACGTGAGCCTCCTCTCCCAGCTAGCCTGTATTTTATTCAAGGGCAAACCCTCACCTCAGTGTAGCCAAGAGCACAGCTACTTGGAGAGCAAGCACTCCAATTCAGAGTGAGTGAAGAATGAATAAGCCGATAAAGGAATTAAGGCTGCACTGTCACGTGAACGTACAGATGAAACGACTGAGGGAAAGTGGCCACACGAGCACACAAGTGCACTAATAAATGAATGACAAAGGAAGGCTGCTCAGCCAACAGTGAGAAGAGTGACACTGGAAGCACGGCCTTGCCCAGGCTGACCACTGCCTCTGGTAAGCCTGTGGACACTGCCAACAGCCACCTGACAGGCATACAAACCCACACCCGTTCTTCCAGATTCCTTCTGTCTTGTCCCAGGTCACATCCCAGGCTCAGTCAGAGCTGCCGATTAGCAGCTGTCAGAGCAGGGACTTCACAAACCCTTGGGCTGTGACACGAAGTTTCACGTTCCCCTGGAAAACACACCAAACCAAGTGAAGCCACTCGTGATGGGTGGAACAGCTTCAGCAGGCCTCAAAACAGGCTGCCCTAGAGGGAGACATCCACACCTTAGCCCCAAGCCTCTAACCTTGGGCTGGACCAGAGGATGCTGGAGCTTCTGTCTGATAAGAAATATTTAGTAAGCACATCTGACTGCAAGGTCCTGTCCAATGAGAGTCTGAATGGGGCTGCCTGGTGGGGCAGTAGCTATGGGGAGGGAGAGGAAACACTGGCCTGGGAGCCACACGGAGCCCTGCTATGGTCCTGCTCAGCCATTGCAGAGTGAGCTGAGGTAAGGTACCTGTCTCGCTGTGAACAGCAGACCCCTTGTCAGCTGGAAGTCTCACTCATCTCTGCCCCTTCCATCTGGTCCCCATCTCAATGCCCAGCCAAAACTTGCCTTGCCATTGGTACCCCCTCCTCTCATCCAGAAGTCCAATCTGTTTGGTGACCCCAATGTTCCCCTGTTCAAAACTCCTCCAACACACCCCACTGCCCTTAGGAGGGTGCACTCAGCCCGCAGCTGGCTTCCCAAGCCTGCCTTCCTGCCACACTCAGCACACCCCAGGTCCATGCACCTGCACATGGCCCACCCACTGCAGCATTCACTGACAGCTGAACTCACCTCCATTGACCTCATCTGCCTTGCTTCCTGCCCTCCCCCCATCACCCACAGACAGAGCGCTCTTTCACAGTGGCTTTTGGACCTGTCTGAAATAACTTCTGTAATCCCACTGTAACCCCCAGCAAACTCCTACTCATCCCTCAAGATCCAGTGGGAGCATCTCCTCTAACCTCATCATGGCACCCTCTTTTGCGTTCTTAGTGTACATTCTGTTACAAATATTTAGTTATGTCCCTACCTTGTAATTGTTTCTCCAGGCGAGGGACCTTTTCCCCCCATCTTTTGTATCTTCTGCCTGACACAAAGAGTAAATGTTTACCGAGTGAACAGTAACCCTCGTTTCATCATCAGTAAAAAGCAGGGGCTAAACATACATGCCTGAGTGGCCCTCTGATTTGGCCACATGTGCTTCTGGGACTCTGATCCCCTCCATTCTGGCTTCAGACTAGATACTGGATACCCCCAAGGGGCCGCTATGGGAATTCTGTGGGTGAGCAGCCGAGAGCTGCCAGCAGATCCCGCTAGACACAGAGGCAGAGACCACAGATTCACCAGTTGCCCAGACACCATACTTCACAAATATTTATTTGTATGGCACCTTTTAAGCAGAGAAACCCAGCAATGTTCAGGAGGCCAGACCAAGGAAAGGCTAGGGTTTCCTCAGGTTCTTACAAACCTCAGGGAAGGAATCCACTGAAGGCAGGCCCGTCTCCCCAGTTGAGGCCTACCTGTCCCTGGGGCGTGCCACTCTGGGGGTGCAGGGTGTTTACGGGGGAAACTAGCCCTCCCTGCATTCCAGGCACTACTGTCCCCATTCACCAACTCCACAGGCCAGGCATCCCCACCAACTGACCACCCAGCCACCCGCAGCCCCCACCGAAGGTCCCCTAAGGCCTGGGCTCACCATCTGAGTCATTACACAGAGGAAGGCGCTCAGGGCCAACATGCACAATGGACTTTTCACCACCATGCTAACTCTTACACGATAGCTCCCACTGGCCATGGGAGTTTATGTGGCAACTCTACCAACAGGAATTTTGTTAGCCAGGTTCCCTCCCCTTTAAGGAGAGTTCTGTCCAAGGCCGCCATTCTTCTAAGCCAGAATCTCTATTCCCGGGTCCTCCCACCATTCAGCGCAGTCAGGCAGCAACGTTCACAGTGCTGAAAACGACCCCCCGTCAGGGTGTGCAACTGTCTGGGTCCGACTCTCCTAAGCAGAGAGGAAAACACTCTCTGCTGCAACCCCCGCTGACCCTACGAGCTGTAGTTCACCGTCCTCAGCACCCTCGTGGTATGTATGGACCAGCAGCCTGCAGCCCCAGGTCAGACCTCTGCCGGCCTGATTCTCAAGGCCCACCAGTGTTCACAGAGCCAGCACGGTCTCAGGCTCTCGGACCCGTAGCACCTCTCACTGTGAGCTGGTGGGGAGCCAGGGTCTGGATGAGGGGATGTACACCTTCTCAAGGTCGGGAAACACCGCAGTCCCAGGCAAACCCAGTGTGCCCTCAGTGCTGTGCATCCACGCCAGAGGAGAGACGGTCAGGTGTGAGGCACACAGCAGAGTCCTGTCCAGAAGGGCAGAGGGTGCAGATGGTGGGTAGCCAGAGGCTCACGGCCAGCCAGAAACCCAGCCCGGGTGACAGGAAGCAGGAGGAAGGTGCAGCCACCCAGACAGTGGCTGCCCGGGGAGCAAGGCGGGGAGCTGATAGGAGGGGTGATAAAGCCTGGGGAGCCAGGAGTGAGCCTATGTCAAACTTCTCCATCTGTGCACTTCACCTCTGGGGAAAAGAATGTTAGCCGTGCCTCAGTGCTGGGAACTGGAAATGGTGTCCCTTATTTCACCATCGGGCCCTCAGGGGAAACACTCTCAAAATGCTTAAGATATTTTTAAGAATTTAACTCAGTGTCATTCAATAGATACTGAGCATCCACTAAGAAGGCCCTGCTTTTGGGGGGGGGGGGGAGGTGTCTGAGACAATAAAATCACTGGGACTGAGAGCTAAGGCCCCTAAAGAAACCACAATGTCAGTTAACAAGATCAGTGCGCATTTATTTAAAATTCAAAGTTCACATATCTCATCTCAAGTCCTTTCACCCATCAGAAAGGAAAGCCCTATTGTTCAGCCTACTTTACAGGTAAAGTCAGAGGCTGGGCTTTCCTGGGCTTCAGACCCCAGGCTGACAGCAGAGCCTGCCTTGGCCAGCCCAGCACTTCCAGAGTCCTCGCAGAAACTGGGGCTTTCTGTCAGGACTTGGAGTCACCGCTGCCAGAGGGGCAAGGAGAAATATGCTTCTTTCATCTATGTGGGAGCAGAGGTAGAGGAGGAAACTGAGGCACTGAAAGGTTAACCAACTAATAGGCTGAAGATGGCAATAACTGACATCCAGCCAGGTCTCTCAATTAGGGCCAAACTGGTTAAAACTGGAACCTTGACCCCCACCAGGGTCCAAGTGAGCTAGGGTCAACCTGTCTTTGTGGGAGGGAAGTATCAGTATCAGGTGCCTCCAGTCACCTTGGGGTGGGGGTGGGGGTGGGGAGGGCGAGAGGTTGTGTTGCCCTGAGGAGGGCCTGAGAGGAAAGAATGAGTAATGATACACAGTAGCATTCCAGGTAGCAGAAGGGAGCCCCTCCAGGCTTCCAGCTCCAAAATGCTAAAGGTCCCTTAGGATTGCTGTTACTTCCCAAAAGCCACTTGAAAGGGCAGATCTCTCTCCTGAAACTAGACAGGCAGAAAGGAACCAAAAACCTGCGTGAGACATGAGCACAGCAAGAAGGTCCCGGGAGGGTACCAGGTGGCTCAGCCACCCCTGCACACCTATGAGCCGCCTGACTCAGGGTAGTGTCCCCCACCCTCACCCCTCTCCATCCCAACCTTACCGAAGTAGCAAAGTCCTGGCTTTCTGCTAAAGGGTAACTATAAGAATGGAATCCCCCTCCAAGGTCACAGGCTGCAGTGTTCTCTGCTTGAATAGAAGGGCTACCTACCGCAACCAGGAAGAAGTCCCCTCGGGTCTGATGAATGGGCTCACCTCTTGCAACCCCAAGGGTTGGTAAGGAAGCAGCTCATAGCAAGTTCACTTTACTGAGGGATTGGAGAACACTTCAGGTTATGACTTGCCACCGGTCAACAGCACCCAGGGTCACATTGTGACATCCAAACAAACAGCGGGGGCCCAGAGAGTCAAAGTCACATCGATCACAAGTGGGATCCACATATCACATACAGCAAAGGGCAGGAGGAATGGGGTGGGGGTGGGGGTGCCTGAGGGAGCAGGGTTCGCCAACAGGAACCCTCCATCAACTGCAGAATACATCTTTGGAACCACAGCCCCTCCTGCCTTTCCGAAGGAGCCCCACATGCCCCTGGCATCCTTAGTTGATTCGGGCAACATGGACTGTCCAACTTTTGGTTAGAGCCCCGTGCCTGACACAGATTAAGAATAATTGTGCCATAGTCTTTTTCCTTGAAGAAGGTTTATACTAAGGCAGCCCCCTGACCTCACTTTTTCTACTCTGCATGGGGGCAGGGGACCTGGGCAGCCCACAACCTAGGCTGGAATCAGGGTGCTCCCATCCTCCAGGAAGCAAACAAGCAGGCCTCCCATGACCAATCTCAGCCCAGGGTTTCCCACTGGTGAAATGGAGGTGATGAGACTGCCCACCCCCCCACCACCACTCCTGGTTACATTCCAGACATAGGGGAGGACAGATGTACAAGGTGTGGAGGGTGCTTCTGGGGCCCAGGCTATTCTGTCCCCTCCCTCTGTTAGCTTAATGCTAAGACAGATGTCTCACCTCTCTCTTTCTGGAGGCACCCTTTGGGAACACATGCTTCTAAGGAATAGCCAGAGAGAGGATAGCAACACAAGGAACGTGGCCCACGTGCTGGAATTGGAGGACAAGCCAGCCCTGGAAACCATTTAGGCAGGAGGCTTGTTGGAATATCATAATGTGACAGTGACCAGCTGCAGACAATTCCTGGAAAAACACCGCTTTGAAGCGTCCCTAAATCCCACAATAAAAAGAAATGGCCAGGAGCTACTCTGATTCCCTAAATCCACAACCCTCTTCGGGAAGGGGAAAAGATGTTTATTCTTTCTTCTTCATTTAAGAACTATGTCCTGGGCCATGTGCAGAAGGTTCTGATGGCTCACATGCTCCCCAGTCAGTGGGACCAAAGCGAGCCCCCTTCCTGGGGGTGAGGTCTGTGCCTGGGCCCTGCCCTTCTCAAGGCTCTCATCAAGGCTCTCATCATCACCCCTTGGGGTTCCCGCTCTACTGTCCTCTGTGTGATTGTGAGCTGCAGACCCCTTTTCTTTACAGTCACCCTCAAGAACCAAGGTAGAGCCTACTAGGTTGGCGCTACTAAGTATATTTATTTAAATGTGCATTATGTGTTAAAGGTGGTAATAACAGGAAGCTGGCTGATCTTCACCCAGAAGTTACTGGGCACTGAGCCCTGGCAAAGGGCTTTCATGAGGCAGGGCAGAGAGCGGTCCTAAGACAGGGTCCGCCCAGACTGGCCAGGCTTGATGCCCTTTGTAAGCTTAGGCATGTCACGTGCCCTCCATACACTTTGAACAATAGTGTCATCTCCTCTATGAGACTGTCAGGAGGATTAAAGTGGATATTGCAAGGAAAGCATTTAGCATCGTGTCTGGCCTGTAGAAGAACTTTGATAGATGTTAGCTATTATAACTAAGCCACTCAGTCCACACAACAACTCTGTGAGGCATGCCCATCTTTCAGATTAAAAAACTGCAGCTAATGCATGAAGTAAACACTGACAGAACTGAAATGGGCCAAGTGAGGAGCACCCCCAACACACACACACTGAAAAACTCTAAGTTTTCTTTCCTATAGGGAATTCAGGTGTCCTTTTCCCCAGTTTCTTAGCTCTTACCCCCCTGTTTCTTAATTATTTTGTGAATCAGTTTATTTATACTTGTTAATTGTAATCATTGAAGCCTAATGTTCTTTCCAACCCTTTCTGGGCCCAGCTCCTGGACAATTAACGCCACCTAAATGACCAGTTGAATGGCCACAGGCTCCATAATAAAATCTATTTTTCCTCATTCAGGGGCCTTGGGGATACAGATGATACCCCACCAAGATTACCAGTCCCAACCAAAGAAGCCAACATGGTCTACCAGGCAGATCTCAAGACCCCTTCCTCTCATCTGAGATCAGCTAGGACGAGAGTCCCGTGAATCCCCCAATAGGCCGGGACAACTCTACACCCCTGCCCGAGAGAAAGCAGATACAGAAAAAGAGACCTGTACCTCAACTTCCCATAGAGATTTTATGGGGATCACGTCTCTCAAGGGGAAAACAAGACAGGTAGTTAGAGACAGGCATTAGGTCTCTGAATTCCTGCATGTCCAACACAACCCACAGAATGCAACCACCCAAAAGACCTCCCCTCTCCACCCAAAACTTTCCCTTTTCGTTATAATTATCTACCCCTACGAGGAAACAAGTGGGTACAAAATACCAACTAGATTAGACTAGTCACTCACACCTGCACAGTAAAGGCGACAACAACCTTCATTTCACCTAGGCCTTATTAAACAATCATTATAATATCATACATATACCCAGAAGTTCATTAATATCATTATAACAGACTGAATTCTGGGAAGGAACACGCGCAGTCTAAAAAGATAAGGTAATAGTCTCTTGTCTATCACAGGTGTCAATCAAGTGGTCCCACGCTGGACAGGAACAAACCATTCTAGAGAAAAAAAGGGATTAAAATTCCCAATGTCCTCACCAGTCAGCACCTTTTGAGCCTTTCGAGCCATGCTTTTGCTCAGGCCCACTCCTATACTTTTGGAGTGTACTTTCTCTTCTAATATGGCCCTTGAGTCACTCCCTTCTGCTGCGGCCCACTCCTACCTCTTTGGAGTGTACTTTTTCTCCTAATAAACTGCTCTTTCACCATTTTATTTCTGTGCCTCATTAAATTCTTTGTTCAAGATTCCAAGAACCTGGACACCGTGCCAAGGAGGGCCCACCCTCTGGCAACGTAGCTGCTAGGATTCCCAGTTTTCCTCAAAGAGGCCCAGGTTTGACCCCGGTGTAGGAACCAAGCCTGGACATCGCCTGGTTCGACCCCTGGTGTGGGTACCAAGCCCGGACACTGCCAAGATCAACTCCCGGTATGGGAACCAAGCCCATACACCGCCGAGTTCGACCCCCGGTATGGGAACCAAACCCGGACACCACTGGGTTCAACCCCTGGTATGAGAACCAAGCCCAGACACAGCCGGGTTCGACCCCCAGTGTAGGAACCAAGCCCAGACACCACCAGGTTTGACCCCCGGTGTAGGAACCAAGCCCAGACACCACCGAGTTCCACCCCTGGTATGGGAACCAAGCCTGGACACCACCAGGTTCGACCCTCTGTATGGGAACCAAGGCATCATGCCAAGAAAGGCCCACTCTCCGGTAATAGAACTAAAAGGTGAAACAGACAAACTCACAAATACAGTTGAAGACTCAGTACTCCTCTCAGTGACTGACAGAGTAGACAGGCAAAAAATTGGTGTTGACCTAACAACCACTTGACTGACATTTACAGAACACCCCACACCAGGAGGAATCACATTCTTCTCAGCTGCACATGGAACATTCACCAAGACAGAGCACGTTCCAGGCCATAAAACAAACATGAAATTTAAAAGAATAAGAAAGCATAAATATATGTTCCTGAACCACAATAGAATTATACTAGAAATCAATAATAGGAAGATACTTGTTAAAGAACACAACTTCCAAATAATCCACGGGCAAGAGGAAATTTGAAGGGAAATTTAAGTATTTTGAACGGAATGAAAATGAAAATACAACATATCAGAAAGTGTGGGGGGCCGGCCGAGTGGCGCGTTGGTTAAGAACTGGCTTGGGATGCCAGAGGGCCCCGGTTCGGATCCCACATATGAGGGCCAGTGACGCTGCCCTCTACA